GAAGAAGAAGAAGAAGAAGAAGAAGAAGAAGAAGAAGAAGAAGTTGTTTTAAAGAAGCAGCTACTAATGTTTAAAAGGTGATAAATTAAGGTTAATTTTTGGATTTTTATCAATGGCGTTTTCTGCACTGAGATGATCATGTAATTTTTTTATTGCAGATTGTTTATATGGTGGATTACATTGATGGATTTTCATATATTGAACTATCCCTACATCCCTGGGATAAAGCCTACTTGATCATGGTAGATGATGTTTTTGATGTGTTCGTTGATTTGGTTAGTACGTATTTTATTGAGTATTTTTGCATAAGTGATCATAAGAGAAATTGTGCTGAAATTGTATTTCTTTGTTGAGTCTTTGTGTGTTTTATGTATCAGGGTGTCTGTGGCTTCATAGAATAAGTTTGACAGCATTCCTTCTGTTTCTGTTTTGTGGAATACTTTGAGAAATATTGATATTAGCTCTCCTTTGAATATCTGGTAGAATTCTGCACTAAAACTATCTAACCCTGGGTGTTTTGCTTTGCTTTGCTTTGTTATTTATTTGTTTGTTGGGTTTTTTGAGGGAGATGGGGGACTTTTAAAGACTTTCTATTTCTGTAAGGGTTATAGGGCTGTTTAAATAGTTTACCTGATCTTGATTTAACTTTGGTAAGTGGTATCTATCTGTCTAGAAAAACATCCATTTTGTTAAGATTTCCCAATTTTGTGTCATACAGGCTTTTGAAGTAAGACCTAATGATTCTTTGAATTTCCTCAGTGTCTGTTGTTATGTTTCCCTTTTCATTTCTGGTTGTGCTTATTTGGATACTGTCTCTTTCTTTTGGTTAGTTCGGCTAAGGGTTTGTCTATCTTGTTGATTTTCTCAAAGAACCAACTCTTGGTTTCATTGACTCTTTGTATTGTTTTGTTGTTGTTGTTGTTGTTCCTAATTGATTAATTTCAGCCCTGATTTTGATTATTTCCTGCCTTCTACTCCTCTTCCATGTGTTTGCTTTTTTTTTCTAGAGCTTTCAGGTGTACTTTTAAGTTGCTGGTATGAGAACTTTCTAATTTCTATATGGAACACATAGTGCTATGAACTTTCTTCTTAGCCTTGCTTTCAATGTGACCCATAAATTTGAGTATTACTTTTAGGGGTGTGGAAACAAAAACACTTCTTGGGAAATTACTAAAGAAATCCTGATAAAAGAGTGATAGAATAATTCAAGTGTTTCTCAAAACTAGACATCTCCTCACATCAAAGTCTATTTTAGATGAAAAGTTAAATAATTCTGTTTAATACACCTGATACTGATGGTCCCGATTGGTTGCTTCTTCTATTTCACTCCGTAGCTGTCTTGTGTGAGCAGCTGTGGGGCAGTACAGGCAGAACTTGGTTAATTACTATGGCTCCTGTGTAAATTGTGTCTTCTTCTTTGTTTTCAGTAAGAGAAGAATCAAGCCGAGGTGAAGAGTAGGATTTCTCCCAGCCCTAGACCTTCAGTGCTCTGGGTTCAATAAAGAACCAAACTGTGAGTCCCTCCCTCATGGCCTTGGAAGGAACAGTGATTCAGTTTCCCAAAGAGCGATCACGACGTGGGCCTATGCCAGTGCTGACGGTTGTTAGGCATGAGGCTTGTTTGTATAATGTACAAAATTTACTTTATGTTCCTCCTTTGGGAGATGTTTTCCCTGTCAAGGTCCAGCCTCAGCTTAGAGAGGGGGCCCTGAGGAAGAGGTGTTTGAGAGCAGCGAAAGAACAACTTGAAGTCAATCACGGGTACAAGCTGACAGCTTTGTGTTCTGCTCCTGATGGCTCTCCAGACAGCTCTGTAGATAGCTCTTGGCTCGGTAGTCTGCTCAAGATAGCTGTCTGCTCGACACGGCTCTCTGCTCAAGACAGCTCCCTGCTTGAGACAGCTCTCTACTAGAGATAGCTCTCTGCCAGAGACAGTTCTCGCGAACTAGAAACAGTTCTAAACACTTTCTGGATAGCTCATGGGTTTTCTGACCAAAGTCAGAAAAGCTGCTAGAAAAAAATTCTTGGAGTTTCCAACCAAAATCAGAAATCCTGCTAGAAAAACTCTAGAAGAGCTGTGTTCGCTCTCAAAGTAGTTCTTCCTGGGTAGCTCTCTCTGGAAAACCAAAGCTTAGTCTTCTCTTTACATAAAATGTTTGTTTTCCCTCATAACAGGACCACCTAAAACAATGTTCATGCTTTTTAACCCAAAATTGTTTAAACATTTTTCAATTTGTTTAAAATTCTTTTGAGCTTCAGAAAATCAAATTGGATATACCTCCCATAGGTCAAAATTTCTAAATTAATAACCATTGTTTAATCCTTAATTAATAAAATAATATTATCTCCTTAAGCCAATTTCTTTTTCACAGAAAAGCTGTTACCAGATATATAACTAGCATGGTATCTTCTTCCTTGGCTACCTAAAGCAGATAAATAATTCCCTCTGCTTTCCTTAATACAACACAGGAAACTTCCTACTTAAAGGATTCCTTCCAGGACTAAAATTCCCTTAACACCCTTGCCTCTTTTCTAGTTCTACAACAACAGACCACCAATCTGCTACCACTCAAACTATTACGGAATTAACATGTTCATTACCCACTGTAGTAACTATTCCACAGGTCTATTGCCATGAAGAAAGAAAGTTTTGATCAGTCATCAAAAGCAATGAGGACAAAGATCCTCTAACTCTCCTAATGTAGCAGAGGAAGTCCTGGAAGCTCTCAGTTATCTCCAGCTGGATGGCCAGGAGAGAATCACTCCACATTATTGGCTTGTGGCTCTACAACCCTGGTATAGAAGCTTTTCATAGGGCTACCTTGGTTCTCAAGAGATCTAAAAGAATTGTTTCACCTTTGATATATGGGGATCACAGCCTTAAGGTGTGTGATTTCTAGTTTTGCCTTACTTATTACATCCTTGGTTTAAGAGATTCACATAGCACATCATCCAAGATCAGTTATCCAAAAAATGTGTCAATAACACTCATAATCTAGGAGACTATTGACAGGGGACACTAGGATAGCCATAATGCTTTAGAAGAAGCAGTTCTATTTATGGGAAATCAGATTTAAAATATTAAGATCAGAATCTCAGTGCCATTCACTGTTTTGTTGGGTCTGTGTAACCCCCTTGGAGTATAATACCTCTGAACATGACTAGTCTAAAATTCAGTCTCATTAAAGGGGCTTCAGAATAATTCTAATTTAGCTTTGGATACAAATATCCTACATCATAGGATCATGGATATTAGTAACTCTAAAACAGGACCCACTTCTATTGAGAAAATGTCTGCAGCCTCTGTTGTACATGAATGCACCCTTTAATCATCCTGGGTGACCTTGCTGATAAATGGAAAAATTGCAGTTAGTTTATTCTTACTAGTTTCTTTCTCCTTTCAGTCTTCATCAAGCAAGTCACATGTTCAATAACCACACTCACAATCAACATTCACTCTCTCAAATTAAAACAGAAAGGGGGAGATGCTGAGTCTTGTATGGCTTTGGAAGGGACGATGCGACACAATTTCCTGCCACTAGAGCAGAGCCAGCAGGGTGTGGGCCTCAACAAGGATTGACAGTTGCTGGGCATGAGGCTTGTTCATATAATAATTATGTAATTTACTTCATGCTCCTCCTTTGGGAGATGTTCTCCCTGCCAAAGCTAATGACTTCATGATGATTAGAAGCAGCATGAATCTAGAAGGAAAGGGTGTGTCTAATGTAAATGCTATGACCATCAGGACAGCCCTTAAGGCTATAGGAAAGAACTCTAAAAACATGAGTTTAAAAATATATAAACAGGATTTTTCAACTATGTAAAATATAAAGATATGAATTGTATGAGGGGCTTCACAGACATAAAAGAACAAAAGCTACTGTGTTAATAAGCCAGCTTGTCAGAAAGACACAGAGGAAGGTAGATCACTGAGTTCAAGGTCTGCCTGAGACAGAGAAAATTTAGGTCCACGCATGGTGGGAATGGTAATTTCATGACTGGATCCCACCGAGCTAGCTTATTGTCTGTGCTCACAAAGGCAGGTAGATCTCTGAATTCATTTGCAATGTTTAAAAAATGTACCTGCTGTCTCTAAGAATCAAGGGGCCAATTTGTGGGATAATCAAAAGGGAACCTGGAGTAAATGATTGAATTGATGTGTAAATAAAAGACTGGGCTTTGGTCTGAGAGAGAGACAGAAACAGAATCAGATAGAGACAGAGAAACAGAGACAGAGAGAGACAGAGAGACAGAGACCCAGAGAGAACTGCTTGGAGAGTGAATACAGTTCTTTTAGAATTTTTCTAGCAGGACTTCTGACCTTGGTTAAAAAAAAATATTCAAGAATTTTTTTCTTACATCTTTTCTGACTTTGGTCATAAAACCCGTGAGCTGTCTTTTAGATTTTTTTTTTTTTTTTTTTTGCATGTGAGAGCTGTCTCTGGCAGAGAGCTGTCTCAAGCAGTGAGCTGTCTTGAACAGAGAGGTGTCTTGAGCAGACAGCTATCTTGAGCAGACTACAAAGCCAAGAAATGCCTACAGGGTTGTCTGGAGAGACATCTGGAGAAGAACATAGAGTTGTCAGCTTGTACCCACGATTGACTTCTGATTGTTATTTTGCTGCTCCCATACACCCCTTCCTCAGGATCTCCTCTCCAAGCCGAGGCTGGATCTTGGCACTAAACTGAATAACAGAACTTTGTCTACATACAATGCTGTTAGTATTGACATTTATTATAATTATTAAATTTTATATTATCTCTTCCAAAACATAGAATTCATAGTAGTGTTTTCACATATAGAAACAGGAAACTAATGGCTGATACCAACTCATATGTAGACATATGCTCTAAAAATCAAGGGCAACATTTCTCTCTTCTTAAAGACATCACAGGGAAAAGGGTATTCAATAAAATCTCAAGCTAAAGTCCAGAAGGTAAGAACCCTATGCTTTTTAGTGTTGCTTCACTCTGAAGACTGTTACTCACTGTGATGTGTCAGGTAAAAGTTGAATAACTAAATAGCTCTTTTCAGTGTACTCAATAGGAGAGGTGCTGGAGCTTGGAACCTTTTGGAAATGGAAACTAGTAGGACCTAGTAAGAGTTTATACTTTTAGTTAGAGCCCCAAATAGCTGTATCCTAGGAGAAATGATGAGGGATACGTAAGTTACTCCTCGTTACAGGGTTTGTCACTCTACTCTCAAAAAAGGCAACACAGGCTACTGGCATTAATTATTCTTATTACATCATTAAAATGATGATTGTGGCAATAGAATGTCTAGTATACTGATCTATGAGTTATTGCTCAGGGAAGGTCCAGAGATCTCTAAAACAACACAGGCTAATGCCATTCCTCTTATTTACCCACCATAACTATATGGTATGATGCTTTTTCTGAAATCAATCTCAAATTGACCAGGAAACATCTTCCTGAATGGCTATTTTCATAACACAGGAAGGTGCTATGCCAGGTGCTGGGAAAGAAAAACACCAATGGTCTTGACTTACACTAGACCCTGCATGCTGCAATACCAACCTAATATGTACAGTATGCCCACTGCTGAAATAGTGACACAATTGTTATAGGTAGTAAACAGTTTTCTGGTTGGATTTGAAACCTGTTCCACAGGTGGAAATTTCATGCCCAGTACTGCAATCCTAGTCAAAGGCCTATGGCTAGGGAGGTCATTGCATGAGGGTGGATCCTGATATTCTTATAATTTCCATGCTATTAAATTGTCTTCTAAATGTTAATATGTATACACATTTAGACTTAGACTGCTCTCAACCTTGGTCAGGGAAGCTTCTTTTTGCAATGGGCTGAAGTCAGTGAATCGTTGCATAATAGGTCAAAGTATAAGAATATGAAATTGAGAGTTCAGCCTTAAAGAGGGCATCAGTACTGATACCATTCTCAAAGGCTCGGGGCCTATCATAGAAGAGGAGGTAGAAAGAATATAAGAGACAAAGAATGAGAAAAACTTTTGAGCTGCCTATTGTACTCATGAACCCACAGGTGCTGTGGTTACCTACACAAGACCTGCATAAGATCAAGTCAGCCAAAATCCTGGCATTGATGGCATAAATGGTCTTCCAACCTCACCCTTCACTGGGAAGAGATTGGCAGTAGATAGTACGAGGTGAAGAATAGTAGTTCTTTTTTGAAAATATGGTTACTGGTGGGTCCATGCTCCAATGAGTAGCCCTACACCCATTCAGGTATGGTCAGGGAAGAAATGTGGAAAATTTGGGGGAAGCTGCAAAAAGGAGAACAGTAGTAGATATCATATTTCATGGTATACATGAATGAAATTCTCAAGAATAAAAGTCTTTTTAATAGTGAATTTGATTCTCATGGCTTCTAGAATGTGAGTTAATACCGTTCGTCAATTTTAGAGAAAAGCTATTGTGGCTTTTCTTGTTCATTCTCCCACTCTTGTTCATTCTCCCACTTTCCCATCAACATCTACAAATGCTAAGCTTTGGAAGATAATATTTTTATTTTTACTTATATGCTTATTAATATTGTTTCTCATCTTCCTACACAATTCACTATCTACTTATGATAATTTCCTTTTTTCTTGAATAACACCCACCCTTTAATGTTATCTTGTACTTTAATTGATTTTTGCTGATTGTCTAAAAAATTCTTTATTATAGCTTCAGTTTTGAATGGCTTTTAGCCATTTTGTGTAGAATTCCTGGTTTAAAGTTGGAACTTTGAGGTTGTTGGTTTTTCAGCATTTTGTAACATCATACTATTATCAACCCTGACTTCCTTATTTCTGTTGGGCAGTTGGCCATATGTCATTTGTTCATCAGATATAGCCTATATTTTTCCTCTGGTTGCTGTGTGTGTGTGTGTGTTAAGCAGAATCATAATGTTATTACATTGTACTTTCAGTGCAAAATAAATAGCACCAAAATGAATGTCAGAAATTTACTTTCAATTACCTCTAGAAAGTTCCATCTTGAATAGCCTGCCACTCACTGAAAGCATTATTTAGGAAGATATATTTTATGAATATCACCAGAGACCATCTAAAAGATAACCTGGAAGACATACTCACCCTGGAGACCAACCAG